ACCTGAGTGAAATAATGATCTACAGCGGTGAATAGATCAACATGCTTGATTTTTTTGTAGTTGATTAATTATTCACAATAGTTAACAATTAAACAATTACAAAATAAAACAATAAAGTAAAACAAGTAAAGTAAAATTTAAGAAATGACACCGAATTTTTTAGCATGGAAAGTTAGTAACCCTTTTAGGAGAAAATCACGGAGACCTTGTTGTCACGGGCAAAACCAATCCGTTATCTCAAAGAAAAGTTACAAACTCTGACTTAGGGTCACTCCCGTGCCACTCTACCAAGAACTAGTTGTTGAACGTCTCTAATTCTGCGACTCTTTCTCCAGCTGCTCTAAACTTCAAGCTTACTCATCAATCCTTATAGAAGGGTGCTGAAAGAACAATCACACTCCACAAACACTCTGTTCCCTTTGTAGTAACTGATTCACGTTGCTTTCAATGATATAAAGAATCATGAAGGTACTATTGCTCTAATCAAATTGAATAAATTGATGTAGACTCTGAATATCCTTTCGATTAGATGAAGAACATCACCCTAAATCACTTTTGTATTTGAGAATGGGCTCTCAAAAATATAGACAAATTTTTATCAAAATCTCTCAAATAGCTACAATTATGGTGTAAAATAAATTTCTACATTTTTTCCAATTGCAACATCAAAAGTCTCTTTAGACTGGAGTTTAGAGATGTATTTATACCCAAGAGAGTCCTTAAAATATTCAAAAAGAAAAAGAAAAAAAAAGGGGTTTTAAAATCGTACTAGGACTTCACAAGGGGGTTGGGGTAAAAATCAAATTTAAAAGTTACAAAAAACTGAATTCCCGCAATAAGTCAGGAAAGTACGACTGGTTAAATTTGTCCAGATTGTAGTACAATGGAATTTCGACAAGTGCAAACAATCAAACTTTGACATATTGCAATTTTGAGATATCGTTCATATATTGGTCGAGTGCGACCGGTTGGAAAAAGTGGGAGAGGTCGGAGTTATCTAAATTGCAATTGATATTCCAAAAACCCAATTGCAATCATGTCCAACCTAAATATGTATAAAGTATCCCCACTCGCATACCTATTCCAAGTGACTTCTTTGTGTGTTTTTTTTTTACAATCTCACAGTATGAAATCCTTGCAATTCAACTTCGACGATCAGGACACAAGTTAAACCAAAAATTGTAACTCATTCGACAAGGTTTTTGACTTCAAAATTTGCCAACACAAGAACCGATATGTAACAAATTTGTGTTTCAAATATGACATTCTTTGTTCCGAAGGCAAACAAGATAGAAGTTCAACCAATAGCTTGGAAGATTCATTGATTCAGCTAACAAGTTTGACACACCAAACATAGTCGATATGCTAAACGGTAAACTGAGAAATAAAAATAGTATTTTTATTTGGGAAAATGAAGATATTAATTTGGAAATTCAAGAAATTCTTGTCGTATATAAAGATTGTATAAATTATACTCACCTCCCTTGAGGTTGGCATAAATTCCACACCTAAATCATCCAGTGTTTTTTACTTTGACTTTTCCTAAATCCATTCATTGGCTGTCTGAAGATGATTTTAAGTATGAAAAATCAGTAATCTCCTAATTTTCATACAAGGGAAGGGCAAACTTGTCATTTTATAAAATTTGTTTAACATATTTGCCTGAAAGAACACATTAAGGGTGTCATTTCGCATACATGTCAAATCTTAGGAGATATCAAAGTAATAAATACTGAACTGTGTATCCGTGTGTAATTTGATCATACTTCAAGGGAGGTTAATGTAATTTATTGATAAAAATTTACTAATTTTGACTCGCTGTATTGGTTTTTAGTCCTTCTCAAGTATTTATTGTGTTCGGACATTACCCAGTGTTTAGTTAGTAGAGTGTCCAATTCCCTTAATGATTATGCCCATGTTCAAGTCTACCATCCCCTAATTGGGTCGGTTAAAAAAATAAAAAAATAGAATCTATTTGTAATCCTAATTGTGGGTTGTTGAAATTTACACATGAATGACAAACGGAGGACATTTTGTGCGAGTCTAGGACCTCAAATGACTCATCAAGGCATCAAAAATATATCTATAAAGTCTGACTAGCTACAAAACTAAATGGTACTAGTATTGTGCAAGATAATGAGATGTAGATCAATATAATTGTGCGGGTCACCCTTGTCTTACAAATTTAAGATATTAATTGTGACTTGTATACACCAAACATACGAAAATGTGGACAATATTTTTAAACAATAATGATAAGTAGTCTTGTGAAAAATAAATTTGTAATTGGCAGATATATATATATATATATATATATATATATATTTTGAGTCCAATTGAATTGTAAATTTTTAGTTCAATTTGTCAATAATCAAGATCGGAAGCGTAATTGAATAAGTGATCATGTTCATATTTTGATACACTATGTCATGCTGAGAACAACACTTTAGGAAGGTAAAAGAGTGTGTGAGGACACTTTGTAGTTTCAAATTTGATATTTTTTAAATCTGGCTAATTTGAACTGATTCAACCACCCTGAACTAGTTCACGTGTCTAACATTATTTTCTTTGAAAACTCACTGGCCACCCTGAACCGGTTCAAGTGTCCAAAATTATTTTATTCGAAAGTTCACTGACCAACTTGAACTGGTTCAATCACTCTGAATCAGTTCAAGCTCTGCAGTTAGTTTTTGTAACTTAGTTTCCTGATCTGTTTTGGCTTTTTATTGCGCATAGACTTTTACCATATTAATCACGCACAAAATTGACTTGTTTTCTAAGTACAATTAGATTTTCAAAAGTCCATAAATATATGTTTTCTCACTTAAACTTTTAAGGACTTGAAAATATATATTTTTCTAATAGAGAAAATTGTTCAAGAGAGATTTTTATTCAGAAAATCAATCTAATTTTTCTAATTTTATTTTTGAGAACACGTACATAAACATAAGAGTGATTTAGGAGTGTTATTTTCTATCTCATCGGAATTGGGGCATAATTGAAAATTCAGAGATTTCGAAAAGAAGAATTAATTCATTCTTCATCAAATTCAGATTTGAAGAAAAGTGGTGAAGCAATCATACTTTGAAGGGGTCAAAGCATTTGTGGAGTGTTATTTGATCTACCAGTTTCCTTCTACAGAGATCAAAAGTAAGCCTGAGGTCGAGAGCTGTTGGACGAAGGAGTTGCAAAGTCAGGGATTGTCAACGATTGGTTTGTAAATTTGAGTCAAAATTTAGTATACTTTGCTTCAAATATAATGAATCGTTTTGCTTTGGACAACATAGTTTACGAGATTTTTTCCAGAACGATGGGTTGATTTCCACCAGTCGGGGTTTCCTCATTAAAAATCCTGATATCATCTCTTAAACTTTATTTACTTTACTTGCACTTTATTTTTAATTTGTAGGTTTAATTTTAGGTTTATTTCGATAAAATTAAAATAAATAAAAATTAAATAAAAGAGTAAATAAAACTTATTCACCACCCATCTAAATTATTTTTAATACAAAATTTCACATTTCTATTTCACTGTATAACTCACAAGTCTGACTTTTAAATGAATTCGACTTATTTACGTGCGAATGACTGATATTATTAAATATGAGCGGCATAAAAAAGAAGGAATTATTCAGGTTAATTAGAGATTTAATAAAGCATAAAAGCCAATTAAGAGTATCCGCCAAGTATACAAAATGTAGAAAGGAAGTATGGGAAATCAATGATTTTGTTGCTTAATAATATTTGAAGCAAATTGAGAATGATTGTCATTAAAGCTTTGTTCTTATATATCATGAGCAAACCTTTAAGGCTTTTAACAACATTAATGATACAAAGTGAATGTTCATCATTCCAAAGCTTTACTGAAGTCAAACTGACAAAAGCAGCAAGAATTTAATATATTGAGTTCATAAATGACGAAATTGCCATCGTAATTTTCAAACACCTACCCTTCTATCTGCCCTGCTTTCAATATATCGGTGAACATTTTGGACTTTTGACTTTCCAAACACCCGCGCCAATATATATTGAAATCTTCTAATTTAAACGAACAAAATCAATATATAATTATTTTAATGGTGATGTGGGGCACTTCATTCCATAATCCGTCAAGATAAATTCTCTTGTACAACATGCATAGAGTAATTATCGAATTTACTATCAAATTTGTAACTTCTAAAATGAACATGAGAATCTTATTATTAAACTATATTTTTAAAATTTAATATTGAAAAATTTTATTTATTTATTTTTTTTGTCAAATTTTATCAAAACTAAGATCATAACATTTCTTTGAAACCAATAATATTAATTTTCTTTTTGAGTAACCATGTTTATTTTTCTTTTTGAGAATGCATTTTCACAAACTTAATTATTTGATTCGAGAAACTTTCAATAACAGGTTTGAACTTTGAACCCATATGATTCAATTCTTAATCCAACAAAGTACAGACAAGGATTTTCTTTAGTCAAATTTGTCCTGAACTTCGCATATCTCTATTTTGTGAGAAATTTTTAAAGTGCTCTACAGGTATCGTATCCCTGAATTTCTCAAGACATTGAATGAGATTGCGCTACGGTATCATCCGGTCAAAGTTCATATTGAGAATTATGTTATAATTTAATTTTTAAATGGTAAACTTTGATAGGATAAAAACGTGACTGAAACTAGATCCACGATTCAAATCTAAGAGGTCAAGACCGGTAGAACATGCATTATCGGTATGTTATTATAAAGACATTTAGAACTTACTCCATCAACATTTTTATGATAAATAAGCAAATTTCCACAATTCACATGAAAGGATGGCAACTATAGACAAAAATCTGATACTGAATACATCCATCCATGAACTTATACTTGAAAATAGAAAGTTAAAAGCAGAGAGAGAATATAAATTGGAGAAGTAATAACAAATTGGGAATAATTGTAGGAAATTGAGATGACTTTCTTGGATCCTGTGTGAAACATTGTTTGTTGCTATAACACAAAATTTATCAGATTGTTGGCCAAAGATAAAGGGAAACAAGGAATGATGAAAAGGAGAAAAAAAGAAAAGGGGAAAGAAATCCAAGAAAACCAAAAGTATAGTAGGAGAGCAGACAAAGGTAAAATACTGAGGAGAGAGAGGAAAAGAAAAACTAGAGAGAGAGAGAGAGAGAGGAAGGAAAAGAAAGAGAGAATTAAGTATGTTACAAATTGAAGTACCAATATAGGAGGAGGAGAAGAAGGAGAAAATAGCAGTTGCTAAAAATTTTCAACCTATCTTCACCTCCTAATTCTCTCCCTCTCTCTCTCATCATGCCAAACAAAACCCACTGATGAAACTAATCATCATGAAACACCCTCTGCACCCAGCACTCCCAAAAAGCCAATTTCTTCATCAAAACCTTCCATCCCTTAAATTTACCTCTCTTAACACAATCCAATTCTCAAACAACAACAACTTCACAACCCTAAAACCATGAACCACTACCCTTCTTTCCCTCTCCTTCTCCCAACATTCTCAATTCTTTCCATCTTCTTCTTCTTCAGCTTCCTCACTTCTTCAACAGCAGCAACTCTCCCTCCGCAGCTCAAATCTCTTCTATCTCTAAAAAACACTCTCAACGACCCTCTCAACACCTTCCATGACTGGGACCCAACACCCATCTTCTCCAAACCCGGGTTCGAACCCATCTGGTGCTTGTGGTCCGGCGTCAAATGTGACCGGAAAACAGCCCAGATCACGTCGCTTGACCTCTCCAGGCGCAATCTCTCCGGCACAATTCCGGCGAGAATCCGGTATCTGATCCACTTGACCCACCTGAATCTGAGTGGTAACGCTTTCGAGGGACCTCTACCGGTGGTGATCTTTGAATTGCCATATCTCAGAGTTCTCGACATAAGCCACAACTACTACAATTCCACATTCCCACCTGGTGTGTCCAAGCTCAAACACCTCATCTTCTTCAAAGCTTATAGCAACAGCTTCACCGGTCCGTTGCCGGAGGAGGTGATTCGTCTACCTTTTCTTGAGTACCTCAATCTCAGCGGCAGTTACTTCGAGGGCAGTATTCCGGCGGGGTACGGAAGTTTCCAGAGCATGAAGTATCTATACCTTGCCGGAAATGCACTCACTGGTCCAATTCCGGCTGAGTTAGGTCGCTTGACTGAGCTGGAGTGTTTGGAAATTGGGTACAACGAGTTCACCGGTGGAGTTCCGCGGGAGCTCAGCAAATTAACCAACCTGAAGTACCTGGACATCTCGACAGCTAATCTTTCCGGTGATCTTACGCCGGAACTTGGCAATCTTACCATGCTGGAGTCTTTGTTGCTCTTCAAGAACCACTTCACCGGAACAATTCCATCCAGTTTCACACAATTGAAAGCGATCAAGTACTTCGATTTATCGGATAATGGACTTTCCGGCAGCATACCGGAAAATATTTCATCATTTAAGGAGCTCAAAATTTTGAGCTTGATGAACAACAAGCTCACTGGTGAAATCCCGGAAGGCGTAGGTGATCTCCCAAACCTCGAACAATTACTCCTCTGGAACAATTCTATCACCGGAGTTCTTCCTCAGAAATTGGGATCAAATGGGAAGTTGCAGAGAGTGGATGTGTCTTCAAATTCGCTTACCGGTCCGATACCACCTACTCTGTGCTCCGGTAACCAACTGGTGAAACTCATCCTCTTTTCTAACCGGTTTGTGGATCAACTTCCTTCATCTCTAGCAAATTGCACATCCTTGTTAAGATTCCGAATCCAAGACAACAAGCTCAACGGCTCCATACCATATGGTTTTGGTCTTTTATCCAACTTGACCTACATGGATTTAAGTAAGAACAGTTTCTCCGGCGAGATTCCGAAAGATTTCGGCAATGTTACCACTCTCCAGTACTTGAACTTATCGGAAAATTCCTTTCACACCGAGCTGCCGGAAAATATATGGAGCGCCCCCAATCTGCAGATCTTCTCGGCCTCGTATGCCAACCTTGTGGGTAAGATTCCCGACTTCATTGGGTGTCCATTCTTGTACAAGATCGAACTGGAAGGAAACAATTTGAGTGGTAGCATTCCTTGGAACATTGATCACTGTGAGAAGCTCATTTCCATGAATTTTCGTCGAAATTTGCTCACCGGAATCATTCCGTGGCAGATATCGACCCTTCCGTCGATCACCGACGTTGATCTCTCCTACAATTCCTTGTCGGGGATGATCCCTTCGAATTTTGATAATTGTACTACTTTGGAAATCTTCAATGTGTCGTTCAATCAGCTCACCGGGGCCGTACCGTTCTCCGGAACAGTATTCCGGAACCTCCACCCGTCGTCGTTCATCGGAAACCAGGGTCTTTGCGGCGGAGTCCTCCAGAAACCGTGCGGGACCGCCGGACTCGGTGCCGGCGAGGTGGAGGTCCGGCAGCAGCCGAAGAAGACGGCTGGCGCCATCGTTTGGATCATGGCGGCCGCATTCGGCATCGGCTTGTTCGTCCTCATAGCCGGGAGCCGGTGCTTCCACGCGAATTACGGCCGCCGATTCTCCGGCGAGCGCGAGTTGGGACCGTGGAAGCTCACCTCCTTCCAACGGTTGAATTTCACGGCTGATGATGTGCTCGAGTGTTTATCGATGAGCGATAAGGTCTTGGGAATGGGTGCCACCGGGACGGTATACAAAGCCGAAATGCCAGGTGGCGAGATCATAGCGGTGAAGAAGTTGTGGGGCAAGCACAAAGAGACGGTGAGGAGGAGGAGAGGAGTGTTGGCGGAGGTTGAAGTGTTAGGGAACGTGAGACACCGTAATATAGTGAGATTGTTAGGGTGTTGCAGCAACAGCGAGTGCACCATGCTGCTCTACGAGTATATGCCTAATGGGAGCTTGGATGACTTGTTGCATGGAAAGAACAAGGGTGAGAACTTGGTGGCGGACTGGCTCACCCGGTACAAGATAGCACTGGGCGTGGCTCAGGGGATATGCTATCTGCACCACGACTGTGATCCTGTTATCGTTCACCGTGATTTGAAGCCTAGTAATATATTGTTGGACGGTGAGATGGAGGCTAGGGTGGCCGATTTCGGGGTGGCCAAGCTCATCCAGAGCGACGAATCCATGTCGGTCATTGCCGGGTCCTACGGTTACATTGCGCCAGGTACATTTTTTGTAAAAAAAAAGTTTTAAAAATATTCTTTATATATTTTTAAATAATAATATAAATGCTGATCGTGACAAAAATAGATCCATTTTTGTATGATTAGTAAGAAATTAATTTTTTTTATATATATTTTTAAATAATAATAAAAATGGTGATCATGACAAAAATAGATCGATTTTTGTATGATTAGTAAGAAATTTTTTTATATATATTTTTAAATAATAATATAGAATTTTTTTTTTTCCCACAATAATAATATAGATGCTGATGGTGACAATTGAGTTACCATTAATTAAAATTTATGACTCAAGTAATGATGTTCTTTTGTTTGGGTGATGATATGTTTGTGTTGTAAGCCGGGGAATATGTGCACGTTAGTGAGGCAGATAGAATGCATTCTTTGTGTTGTTGACATGTTTGCTTAGTTCGTTTTGTTGGGTGACGAAATCTGGCTATTGTGCGCTGGATGATGTAGGGTTTCCGAATTATCTGGTTCACTGAGGCTTTTGGTAGTTTTCGTTTAGTAGTAGTATAGTTGAGTACACGTCACCTAAAGCGCTTGTTTTGCATGTTTTGGTTAGTGCCTGCTGCTAACGTGAGCCAAGGATGCAATGCTCCTATAGCCCCCAAGCCTTTTGCTTCCTTTTGGCGCCTAGATTTAACTGTTTGAGGGCCATTGCGCACTATTGCGCGTGAAATCCTCTTTTTCTTTTTTGTCGCTGCTTTTCTTTTGTTATGGGTCCCACAAAGATTTTGTCAAGTATTGACCTAAATCGGAGGGTTTAAATACATACCACAATTTCTAGACTTTTGTCTCTAAAGTCAAACATTTTGATCGGTTGAGACTACTGACTTTGATTTACTATTTGATCATTTTATTATGCTGGTCCGAGTCGCATGGAATCACTAAGAGTGTGTTTGGTTGTGCAGAATATGCTTACACACTTCAAGTTGACGAAAAGAGTGACATATATAGCTATGGAGTGGTGTTGATGGAGATTTTGAGTGGGAAAAGATCCGTGGACGCAGAATTTGGCGACGGTAACAGCATTGTGGATTGGGTTAGGTCGAAAATCAAGACAAAGGATGGCATCAATGAGGTGCTTGACAAAAATGCCGGTGCTTCGTGTGCCCCGGTGAGGGAGGAGATGATGCTAATGCTAAGGGTTGCATTGCTCTGCACTAGCCGGAACCCGGCAGACCGGCCCTCCATGAGGGACGTCGTGTCCATCTTGCAAGAAGCCAAGCCCAAGAGGAAGTTGCCTGGAAGTGGCGGCGGCGGCGGCGGTGACAATACGGTTGTTGTTGGTGGTGCTATTCCCTTGGCACAAAAGGCAACTGTGGAATGTTAATATAATTGAGTTTACGATTTCTTTTTCTTTTCTTTTTTAGTTTTTTTTGTTTTGTTTTTTTTTTTTTCTTTTTGGGAAATTGTGGGGATTGGTATAGGAGAAGTGATTTTTCTTTTTTCTTTTTATTTTTATTTTCTAATGGAATTTCCAAGTGTTCTTATTCTGCTTTCTATGATGTTATGTTGAGTTATATATGCTCATTGTTATTAACACTTATTATTTCTTCAAAAGCATATATTGAATGTGTTACTAGTGGTTTTAAACTCTTGAGGAAGGCAACGATGGAATTTTTAAGCACTAAAAATGCAAATATAGATAAGGAAAGGTGGAAGTGTGCAATAGTACAACGAATATAATCACACCACATTCAACTAACATTATTCGAATTTTACTTGATTTGTATTGAATGGTTTGCACGAATCTCATGGAATGGCAAAGTCGGAACAATTATCGACAACAAGATAAAAGTCACACCAGACTTAATTTACTGTAATTGATGTACACATTGCTGTGATTACAGAACTCACTCAAACACATGGAGTACTTCAAATATGCTACGTGTACCTAAAGTACTCTGAAATTATCTGAAATAAATTCTGTACAATAATGAATTACGTAGTAAATTATTTTAATCTGATATGTACTTGATGCATTGATCTTCTCGGATGCCTTGGGCTCTACTCCTCTTGATTTTGAATTGTACTCTTAGACTTTTCTCCTTTGCCTGTAGGTAAAAAATACTCCGCTGTCTAAAAAGAAAATTTATCCACCACCTATTTTTTGCTGTTTCATTTTAAAAGTCAAAATATTAATTTTTATAATATTATTAATTTAACCTTAAACCTATTATGCATATTATGATAATTCATTCATTATCACTACAACAAAAAATACTCGTCATCTTAAAAAGTTAGATTTTAAAAAAGAGATGATTAATTTGGAACTGATGGAGTAGTTAAGTAATTAAAGAGATATTTGATAAAATTAAAAATTAAGTATTAAAAATTTAAGAGCTAAATTTTAATGGAGATACTAATTCATTGTGCTATCGAGATATCTGCAAGTTTTTTGCATTTAGTAATTTTGTCACTTAAAATTTTATTGATCTTATTTTATTTTTTTTAAGTATTAAAAATGCTTTATTAAATGCACTTATTTAGATAAGTATTTAATCCATTCAGAATTAAGAATTAAACTTGCTTACTAAATTAGCACCTAAGATAACTCGCTTACTAAATGAACAATACTTAGGTCCTCCTAGTGAGGATCTATACCATCCTTACTAGTGATGTAGACTAGTAATAAATCACTATCTTTGTGATTTGGTAAGTGTATATTTACCCACAATATTAAATTTAGTAATTAAAGATAGCAAGTTTATTTATTATTGGCCCACATCACTAGTGAGGATGATGTAAATCCTTACTAGTGAGGGCCTACGTATTGCTCCTAAATTAGCACCTAAGATTGAAATAAGTAGACTCAATGATGAGTGAGGGTGTCCTCGTCACAATATTTTATTTCTTTTACAAAAATAAAAAAAATTAAATCCAACATTAATTTACATAAGAAGTATTTTGGGATAATATATATATATATATATATAGAACGTTTCTCATGAAGAAGTTCAACTACATTTAGACCTAGCCGGGCTTGAATTTGGAGCTTACAGGTTCAAAATGGGCCTCAAAGAAAACTTTGCAACCTTTCGTAAAGGTCAGCCAGAAAAATCATAAGTTGGGCTTTGGTAAAGCTTGGATTGGGCATTTTTTAAAAGAATATTGTCCAGTGACATGTATTTTGTGGTGCAGTGGAAACGGTTTGAGATCAACCTGGTGAGACTCACAATCGGATTGATCTTAGTTCATCTTCAGCACATCCCGGAGTGCACGCTATATATTGAATTGATCTCAACCCGTCTACAGTGCACCACGAAATACATGTGCTAGTTCACGACTCACCTCTAATGATGCAACCATGGCAATCCTCTTCTCCAGTTCTTCCATGTACTCTTTTTGTTGCTTCACCATGACTATAAACTCTGTATGTGGGTAACACGTTCTCTCAACCTGGCATCAAGATTAAGTGTCACACAGTTCAACACTTAATTGTATAATTACATTTACATATATAAATCATATTACAGCTAATTCAAATTGGAAAATAAAATAATTAATTCAACAGTTAAATTGCACCTGGGAGAAGAATTTTGCCAGTGTCACTTCTATAGAGTCCATAACATTGATGGCCATGCTCATGACATCATTGACAGACATTAGATTCGCCTACGTATATGTACAGGAGGAACTAGTGTTAATCAGTGGTGGAGCCAGAAATTTACCCGAGTGGGGGCCAACATTATCAATAACGTGATGAAAAAATTGAACCAAAAAAAAAAGAAAAAAAGAAAAGTAGAGGAAGGATCTTTTTGAATTTTGATTTTTAAAAATTTTGTGGACCCATCGAGGGAGAAAAGATATGGATTTTTTGAATTTTGAAAATTTTGTTGGACAAATAAATTAGAATAGAAACTGAGGTTTTATTTTTAATTTTATTTTTTTTGTAGTTTGACAATATTTTTAGGCCTTATGTGAATTTTTTAAAAGTTTAGTGGGGACAATTTATGAATTATCAAAATTTGTATATAAAAAATTGGAAAATGATTCTTGCACTGAATAGTTGCAGTGAATTGTTAGACATACCTTTTTAATTGGTCAATTATGTAAAAAATAAAGAAGTAGAGTCATCCACTTAGTTGCACTTGGTATAAATAACCAATTAAAAATTATTCGGTTAGACAATTCAGTGCAAGTATTCGGTGTGAGTATCACTACTCTAAAAAATATAAGTCAAATCCTTGACACGCGCTTATCACCATCTCTTATTTGGGACCAATTCAGATCCTTGACACGCGGCAGAAGGTGTTGATGAATAAGATAATACCGCTAGTGAAGGTACTATGTAGACATCACAGAGTCGAGAAGGCTACTTGGGAACAAAAGCAGGGTGCCCGTTCCAAGTACCCGGAGTTGTTTTCTTCCCCAAGTATGGCTTGATATCGGGGAAGAAATCCTTTTAAGTTGAGGAGATTGTGATATTTCTTAATTTTCTATTTTTCCGAGTATTTTTCAAATTTTTGGATTCATTTATCTTCCGTGCCTCGTTTTGCATGCCATGCACTGGTTAGCGTGCCGTATACGTTCCGAGAGTAGTTTAAGATATTTTTTTTTGAGTTTAGGACTCTTAGAAATGCATTTGGGGTCATTTTGATATTTTTCAAATATTTGGGTCGGGAGGTCCCGAGCGAGTCCCACATCCTGATTTTTCGCAGCTGAGATTATTTTTCGAGGTCATTACATTTCATATTATATTATTTGGAGTGTATTTGTATGATTATGTATTTAAATTAGGCTAATTTGGCATATTTAAGGTTATATTACATGTGAGGGGCAATGTAGACATTTTTAGGGTCATGGTGGGGACCACACCTTTTGTCCAAGGCTTATATACACACAAATATTACATTTCTAACCATTTTTCTTCTCCAAACCGTGGCTTCACTTTCTCTCTCTAAAGTCTCATTTTCTCTCTCTAAATCTTCAAGTTTCAAACTTTGATTTCTTTCTTTTCCTCTTGGATTTAGACTTTGCCATTGAAGGCAAAGTTTACGAGCACGATGAGGGCTACGATTTGATCGGAGCCGATTTTCAATTGGACAACCTTAGGATTTTTGAATTTGGGGCTTCAATTAGGGGTTTGGTTTGATTTGTTGAGGTAGGGGTTTCTAAGACCCACATTCTTTGGTTTTAGTGAATTATCTGTTACCCAAGTATTGACTCTAGAGGGGGGTGAATAGAGTCTATGGCAAACAATGGCCAATTTTTGGTTTTAATTGTTTAACAAATTCTAATAAACACCTTATAACAATTATATAATAATCAGGATATAAACTTAAGCAATTAATTGCACGATTGTAAACGATAAAAGGGAAGAGAAATGCAAACACTTGACACAACGATTTAGCGAGATTCGGTAACTCCTACTACTCGGCTCGAGATCCTTCTTGAGACTTTCCCAATCCCATTATGGCACCTCCTTACGGGTGGAGAGTAAACTGGTACAAGAAGCACACCGCTTCTAATTCTTCTTGTTAAGAGAACAATCCTCTCTTAGACTTCTGCTGGGTCACACCAACCCTTACAATTGAATGTAGATAGAAAGTTTTTGCACAATAATATATCTCTCAAAGATTGATATGCAAATCAAAGCTTACAACTGGAGTATGAATAAGTACAAATGAAACTCAAAACTCTATGAATGATATGTATGAGAGGATGAAAAAGATCAAGAACAAAAGCTCTTTGATACTCAAAAAGATTTCTCTATTTCTCTTCGATGCATACACACAATGTCTAAACATTACGTATTTATAACCCCTTTGAAAAATATAGCCGTTAGGAGTGAAATCAGTTTATATATCTGAAATTTTCAATCCATCTTATCGGTCACATGAACCATCTGTGCGGTCACTTGGAGTCATCTGATCGATTACATTGGTGAATTGATCGGTAGGATAAAATCTAAATGTCATCTGATCGGTGACATGAACCATCTGTGTGGTCACTTGGACTCATTTGATCGGCTACATGGTGAAGTGATCGGTTACATGATAAACCCCAAAGATGCGAGTTCACTGTTTTGGCGTCCTATCGATAATATGACTGATCTGATCGGTCAGATGAAAAAATAAATTTATTTTTCTGTTTTGGTCATTTAAGTAAATGTCTTTACAGTATTTATATGTCCATTTACTTTAAGTTTACAATGTATATAAGGAAATACCCCACATTTGGATTCAATAAAACATATAAGAAAATTGAAATCCAACTAAATCAAAATGTAGAAAATCATTTTAGATACAAATTGGGGTTCCCGACAGTTTTTGTGAAACTTGATCCTCCGTGTAGGCCAATGTAGAAATGATGAAAAAAATCCCATAAAATCAGTTTAAGCTATTTGAAGTATAAGGAGTAATTATCGAGAAAAATTATTTTAAAAATATTTTTATTTCAAAAATCCATTTTTCACATTTAGCCAAAAATAAAGTTTTTCATGAGGCGTATTCACGAGTCCTAATGTTTGTTACCAAGTCATGGTAATAAAGGCTTCATATGCCTTAAAATTTACATTCTAGTGACCAATCTGAATCATGTGATTGATGTGCATGGTCCTAGCATTTCTAGCTCAAG